AGTACTGGCTATCCAGTGTATTTATAAATCCAGTTTAAAGTTTGGGAGCAAATTACTGAAGAAATACTAGTACACATATATAGCTGTCCAGACTTTGAGACCCTGACAAGACAGTCTCTGTTCATTTGCTTGCTTGTGAGAGCGGTCAAGTAGGTGACCACAAGAGAAGAGACTTCTTTCACTATGGCCCTGTATCACTGAGATAACTTGCCAATTGACACTGCAGGTTTTTAAGAAACCTCTGAAAACACAGCATTTTACTCTGGCCGCCTGCTGTTGTTGTTGCCATTTTATTGTTGTTGCTATTTCAGTGTTTATTACTGTTCTTCCTGTGTTTTCATAATTTTAATACCATATTCATCTTTATGTCTTCACTGCTATATGCCCTGGAAGGGCTCTTACCCTGAAATGCAGACAAGAAATATTCAAAATAAATACATTATTTCGCAGGTCTTGCTTATCACACATTGGGCTTCAATTACATTACAGCTGTTAAATTACACTCATCCTGCCAGGGTAATATTTGGATGGAAATCTCAAAGGCAGTTCTATGAGTGCATAACAAAACCCTAATGGTGTTTCATTCAGCTTCATAGCAATGTAGGGCATTTGTCTTGCTACAGAGTAGTGATTCCCAAAGGGGTGGTGATCGGTTGTTTTAATCTGCAGTAGAGCAACAGACAAAGGAAGAGTTGTGGGGGTGCTAGGGTTGTCACCCAAGAGGAAAGTGGGTAGCAGCCTGAAAACATTCAGGGACCACTACTGCAGACTGTAGCACTTTACAGTAAGCAAATGCTATGCCTTAGCTAGCAAGTTTCCAGGCTGTGGTTATGCAATCTCACTACCATATTAATGGGATTGTATGGGGAGTCTAGGTTATGTTGGCTTCAAGTAATTTAGCATTATTTGTAGGCTTTCTGTGTTTTCCCATTGCTCCTTCCATCTCTTTTACATACCCTCCCCCCAAAAAATCAATTTAGGATGAAAAGCTGGAACAGCCATACAATGACTGTTTGCCTGAGGAGCTGTCAGAGAAAATCTATTACTTCCTATTCTTCCATTGAGCAGTTACATTCTGGCCCTTCTGTTGCAAATCATAGCTTGCAAGCAAACTAGTGAAAATCTTGCAGCGCATACTATGATTTGGTGTTATAAAAGGGAACGAAAATTAAAAATACTCAGGCTGCTTCTGTAAGTTCACTAGGTTTTTAAAAACAGCTCCTCCTGCCCCAATCTTTGAAGATTGTTTCTCTCAGCATAACTATTTCATTTCTATAACCTAATTGCTGATGCTTTCACAAATTGGCAAATACAATTATATAATAGGCCTAATAAAAGAGACATAAAACATGGAACACTCTGAAATGAGTCATCTTTGATAAAACATACCAGTTCCCCATATTAACTTCTTACATTCAAAGTTAAAACAGTGCAAACAGTTCCATAAAGCTATCCCCACTGAGCTCTATGTCTCAGATGCCATTTGAGTACTGCAAGCTTTCAGGAATTTCTTAAGCTCTTTAAAATTTCAAACATAATTCTTGTATTGTGGCTTCAGCTTCTTTTCACACACCTGTTTCACACAGTGAAAGTGTGTGGCAAGTACTCATGCACTTTTGCTATTGGGGGAATGTTTCTTACAGTTGAATGGTGACAGGCCTTGGCTGCTACCCCAAGTGTTACTGATACGCATCATGACACCCAAGTTGGTATTCTTTTACAAAAACTCATCAATTTTGCTGGAGCCCAGAAAACCTTAGCCCCTTTGAAGCTGAGGCTAGGAGCCGTCATTTTGGATGTCATATATCATTTGACTCCTTGCAGCGTGTTTGCATTTTATCCTGCTTTAACTGATGAGAGGTCCAAGTTGGCTTACAACTGCAACTTGGAAACAAAAGAATGGCACTGATGTGAGTCTGATTTTGAAATATCACATCCCATGTGGAGGGACGCCACTGACAAAACCAGATTTGTGTTCTCTCCTCCTCAGCTGCCCTGACACTCTCTCCAAATTTCTTCTGGAGGGTCCCCCAATCCTGCTTTATCAATTATAAATACTAAATGAGGTGAGCAAAATAGATACCATATGTCAGGCCTTTTAATTTATGACTAAAATGGGAGCAGTGAAGACTCACTTCCCACCTGGCTCCCTTTCTGCCTATATCCCTCCACTCTGCAGGTGAGAAAACCATAGCAAACTGAGGGTTTGTGATACTTGATTTTGAAAGCTGCATTTAGCAGCTGTCTGACAGGAAGGATGTAGCTCCTGTCATCATAGCACAACTGTACACGCAGAAGCCACATCTGTTCTCTTCGGTGCAACTAATAAAAACACATATGTGTCTTCAGTGCAGAAACAAGCCATCCCAAGCATAGTGTCAGGAAACATTACTGATAGTAATGTTTGAAGTAATGTTTCAACATGAAATTGAAGAGTTAGCAGTTAATTTCACAAGTATTGGCTGTGAAACTCCTTTTTTGTGCAACTGTTGTCTAGGAAATTATTCCCTTAACAGTGTAGTATATGAGAGAATATAATGAATATTCTATCTCTGCCAATAACCACTGTAGTTTGAAACCCTGAAAACAGTTTTTAATACCAAAGCTATGCTAATATTATTATGACAGCTATGTCATGATGCAGTTGTGGTTTAAAGCACTTTAAAAATGCATTCAGAAATATTATTGGTAGCATTTACTGCAAATAGACAAACTTCATGCTAGGGTAGTTGCTATCTGTTCCTTTCTTGACACCAATATTTTTAAAACACTGTACAGTATGTAACAATTTACAGGCTATGCTTTATTGCAGTTCATAGTCACATACACAGTCTAATGCTGAAGAACACTGTGGAAGAGGAATTGTAATTTAACCAAAGCCAGCCAACTACCAGTTATTGGGCACATTCGCACAACACGCTAACCTACTCTAGCAATGTCATGGTGGGTAGGTTGCTTGTCAGGCAAACAACCTACAGTAAGCCCCAACAGGTTACTGGGTTCACCATAGTTGCTGACCCCCTCCCACAATCGGTCCTCCAGCAGGCATCCAGGGGATACCCTGCGAAAAACAAGGTTTCCCCCTTCTCTATGCCCCCACAAGCCATTTTGGGCTTACCACCATTTTTTTTCTTTTTAAAACCTCTCTCCTCAGAAAAGTTTAAATTGTACACTATTTTGCATCATAGAACACAGTTGTGCAGTTTGCATTAGCATGATAATGAGGGTTTGAAGCTGCTTGACAAGCAGTAGCCCTGAACATTGGTCTAGCTGAGGCTCCAAATTTATTTTCCTCACTTTGGTTCCTCAGCCAAGGGTATAAGGGATCTTTTGCTGAAAAGAGAGGGGGTTTTTTTGGAATTTACATTTCCATTGCAGTAAGATCCTCCTCCTCCTCCTCCCCCCATCAGGGTGCACATTTTACCCTCTTCCCCAGCCCCAAAGTGCTTGGGAAAGTGCAGCAGTGTGCACACACCCCTTTTCAAGAGAAAAAAGGCCCTGTCAGCTGTCAAAAATCTGGTCCCTTTAGAAAACGGTGTCTGAGTGGGAACTGCAACACACAGAGGCATACGCCCCAGTCCAAACCCACATAGTGTCCCATATGGACACTCTGAAGGAACTGCTCATGCCTGTCAGAAGTGGGATAGTGAAAGCTAGCTTGACAGCCACAGTTCACAAACTTACCACAAAAGAATTTAAAAGGAAAACAAGTGCAGCAAACCTGAAGGGGAGAGAAAAAACCAGCACGAGCTGCCTCCAAGTGCCACTTGGGCACTTCAGGAGAGGCTGATACTGTTTCTTGCTCAGAAGCACCATGGCAAATTTTGCTCCTGTTGTCACGGAGCTCACGAGTCAATCTTGATATCCACAATAGTCACCTGTTCAGGTTCAGATAATACAACAACCTTTCATGGCTCCAACAACCCCAGAATAAGCTGAGTTGTTGGGGTTGCTTGTTCTTGAACAAACCCACAATGGGTTGTCATGTCATACAAACCCAGTCATTGGGTCAACTTGAACCAATTTCCCAGATCAAGAAGTGGAAAAACTATCTTAAAATTTCAAGACACCAGCATCACCTTTCAAGACTTCTGATGGCCCACTGGCAAAACAAAATCATTATTGTAGAGTTAAACATGCTAAAGCAATCCGGGCCTTCTTCTCAAGTTGGTGTGCATAGGTTACTGTCCACATGCTATGTGCAAAAATGTGCTAAATTACCTCAGGAGTAGACTGCAATACCACCAGTAGTTTCAATAAACTTACCCATACGGTAACATTTCATGGATTGATGCTAGCCATGTTAGTTTCCATTAAAAAGCAAGACAATGACTTATGCCAGAAGACAATTTTCTCCAATCTGGTGTTCTCTAGATATTTTGGACTTCAGTTCCCATAAGCCCCTGGCATACTAGTGGGGAGAAATTCACTAAGTGGCAGTTCCAAATATTTGGAGGGCCCCCAGTTGGGCTTGCTGTCATGACAATTTAGTGTTTTAAGGCATAACAAGACTTCTTGGCGTGCTTTTAAGCCATAGCAGTCATAACAAGGCTGTTATGAAGCCATCGCTAACTGGAGTGTTTCTCGGAGGGCTCCTAAAACTAGTTATCGGGAGGCACTGCACCAGCGATCCTGTCTTTTCCTCAGTAAATTATCAACAGTAAACGACAGAAAAGCTGTGGGAAATCACGGAAGTGTTTCATGGTAAAATTCCGTGAATGGGGCAGGGCAACGGAGCCATAAAAGCCTCGCCTGAAGCACGCCGAGTCGCGCTAGGAGCCCTCTGTCCGTAAACACCCCTTGTTTGCACTTTATCTCCGGGCATGGCCGCAGCTACGCTGAACTGGAACTACAGCACTCAAGAGGTTTGGTTTGTTTTAAGGGCAAGGAACAAGCAAAGAGCAGCTGCTATTCGACCGGAGCCAGCAAGTCAGCTCACACCAGGGGGAGTTTTCGAGGGCCCCTTCCCTTGAGCGCCCAGGAGAGGGGCTCGCACTCACTCTGCATAGCCGGTGTCCCACTGGAGAGGCCTGTCCCGGGACGAGGAGTAGACGGGTCGCCTGCCAGGCTGCCTCTCCTCGACGCAAGCAGCTGCACGCAGGAATCTGGGGCGCCTGTACAGCAGAGAAGACGGCGACGGCTGGAACTCCCCTTTCCCTTCTAGCAAGTGCTGCTGCCGAGGGGCGCCTCTCCTCGGGCTCGCCGTGCTCCTGCTGCTCAAGAACCGCCTCTTAAACCAGTCCGAAGACATGAACCAACGTCCTCACGGGCCAGCGCGGCAGCCGCCCCAACCCGTCCCGCTCTTGCGCGCCTGTCAACTGCAGGAGCCGCGCCCGACGGCCCGAGGCGAGAGGAAAGGGGCGGGGCCCGGAGAGGGAAAGGACGCGGAGCGCCTGCCCCAGCGTCCCGTCGTGCGCGTGAGTCACCGCGCGGCCCCGGCCGTGGCGCCAGGCAGCCAGGCCGGAATCGCCACGCCAGCGCTGGAGGCGCGCCGCACGGCTCACGCGGGTCGGTCCCTTTCAACCTGCCAGGCACGCCCATGCCCGTGCAGAGGGGCGGGACTCAGAAGTTGCCCCGGCACCGTCCGCGGCAGCCTTTCGCCGCTTGACGCTTTTACGCTCTTTTGGACACCCACTGCCGGCAAGACCCGTGGCCAGGAGTGCTGGGAAGGGTAGTCCAAAACAGGGCGGCCCCAAGTTGGAAGAGGGCTAGTTTAGAGAGTCCAGGGCATCCGTTTCAGTCGACACGTTACTCTGCAGCACCGTCTCTGATTTTCTCACTGTTTCTCTGCTCGCAGTGGCAGCCTCAGGGCTTGACTTTGGGGCAGAAACTAATGCTTCACGCAGCAGAATGAGCAAGAGGGCCCTAAATGAAGCATGGCACTTAATCGCACCCGTTTTACTAATGAGAACGTAAGAAAGGCCTTGCTGGATCACTCCTATAGTCGAGCGTCCTGTTCGCTGAAGAGGCAGCTTTATGCTCCTGGAAAGTGTAGGAGCAGACTGCGAGGGCACTTCGTTCCATTCCTCCCAATGACCTCTGTTCTGTGAGCAAATTGCAAGCAACTGGTATTCTGAGGCATGCTCTTTATCTGCCATGAATTTGTCTAATTCCTCCTTTAAAGCTGTAAATATGTAGCCATCACTATATCATTCGGTAGGCAATTACACAGTGCACTACCCTGTTTCTCTGAAAATAAGACCTAACCGGAAAATAAGCCCTAGCATGATTTTTCAGGATGCTTGTATTATAAGCCCTACCCCTAAAATAAGCCCCAGTTAAGATCATCAGCCAGATGGACGCATTTAGTACATCTGTTGCAACACACTTAGGGGTTTGGAGAGTTATGACGATATTCCAGAAGAAGATGACATAACTATTTGAATAAATGCAGATCTTTGTACATGAATAAATATAGATTGTTGTACATAAAATATAAGACATCACCTTAAAATAAGCCCTAACGCATCTTTTGGAGCAAAAATTAATATAAGACCCGGTCTTATTTTCAGGAAAACACGGTATATGAGGAAGTGTTTCCTTTTGTCTTTCTCAAGTCCCCCACTGTTCAGCTTCATGGAATGACTGACCCCAAGTTGTAGTAATATGAGTGAAGAAAAGCCTCTCTTTAAAAGTCTCTGTGCCATGCATAATTTTGTATATGTCCACAATTTCCCTCCTTAACTACCTGTTACTAACTTCTGTATACCGTCCGCTACCAAATGGTCTTCTGGTATAGGTGTCATACACTGGGTTGACATTTCACCTGGCTTAAGCACTATGACTCTAAATTCCCTTTTCTGGTCACAGCAAGAGTTAAGACTTCATTGATATACAGGAAGTTAGGATTTTTCTCCTGGTATGCAAAAGGAAACACTTTGAAGTGCACTGTTGTTTTAGTACCTATTCCCCCAGTTTTAAGTCCTTTCCAATCTCCTTTTGTTTGTATTCACTTGAATAACATGGTGTCATCTGCAAACTTGGAGATCTTATTGCTCACTCTAACTCCACATCATTCATTAATAAATTAAAAAGCGCCAGTCTCAATACAGATCTCTGGGGTACCCCTGCCCTTATATCCCTATATTGTGAGAACTGTCCATTTATTCCTGCTGTCTGCTTTGTGTTCTTCAGCATTACTAATCCACAAGAGGACTTCCCCCCATGCCATGACTATCCTGGCAGAGGGACCTTTGTCAAAAGCTTTTTGAAAGTCAAAGAAAACTTCTCACTGCATGCTTCTTGATACTCATGAAGAATGTTAAATGGTTTGTCTAACAGGACATACCTTTGCAGAAGCCATGTTGATCCTTCTTTACCAAGACTTGTCCTTCAAGAGGACTTTAAAAAAATCTTTACCTAAAGTTTTTCACTAATTGACCTGAAACTAAGTGTAAGGTAATATGTAGGTACTTTCCTGGTTTTCCCCTCAATCCTTCTTTTAAAATTGGTGTTACACTGACTACTTTCTGTTCTTCAGGTAAAGAGGTTAATCTTAGGAACAAATTAGAAGATGAGCAATCTCACATTTGAGTTCTTTAAGAAAACTCATGTGGATACTAATTCTCACCTAGTTAATTTTTAATTTAACAAGAAACTTTTGTAACTGCTGTTATTTATTTTTATTGATCTTAATATTTATATACTGTCCCATTCCCATACTCTGGGGGGAGCATTATAAGAAATTAAACCAACAGTGAATAATATTGACTAACACAACATATTAAATAAAACTGACATGAGAACGAAACTGGGAAGACCTGTCAGAAGAGATACATTTTTAACTCCCTCTTAAGGGAGGGAATTAGGGAAACCAGATGCATCTCTCTTGACAGACCATTCAGGGGCAAACCACTGAAAAAGTCCTCTGGGTAGTTGACAATCTTACAGAAAGAGAATTCAGAAGATTATCCCCAGAGGACCTTATCTGGTGAGGCAGAATGTTTGTTTATTTATTAGATTTATATCTCACCTTTTTCTTTTTTGAAGAACTCAATGCAGCTTACTACATTCTCTTCCTCTTGTACCCACAACAGCAGCCCTGTGAGGTAAGTTGGCCTGAGAGTCTGTGATTGGCCCAAAGTCACCCAGTTGGCTCCATGGCTGAGCAGGACTAGAACCGGATCATCTGATCCCAGTCCCATGCTGTTAACCAGTACACCAAACAAGCACTCGTGTGTCTATAGCAAACTGATTCCCCACCTCTCTCAGACTTTGTATGTAACTGATAGGTTATAATGTAAAGGTTTCCCCATGTCATTAAAGTCCAGTCATGCCTGACTCTAGGGGGCGGTGCTCATCTCCGTTTCCTAGCCAAGGGAGCCAGCGTTTGTTTGCAGACAGTCTCGATGGTCGTGTGGCCAGCATGACTAAACACCGAGGTGCATGGAACGCTGTTACCTGCCCACCGAAGTGGTACCTTTTCATCTACTTGCATTTGTATGCTTACGAACTACAAGGTTGACAGGAGCTGGGACAGAGTACGGGAGCTCACCCTGTCTGCGGATTTGAACTGTCGACCTTTTGATCAACCAGCTCAGCAGTTTGAACCACTGCACCACCCACAGTCCCTTAACTGATAGGTTATAAAAGCATCCTGTACAGAATGTCTTTGCAGTCCCTTCAGGAACAGGATGTCAACATGTGCTGTTAACATGTTAACAGCAAGGACCTTGCCTGATTCAACTTTATTACCATCTTCGGACTGTCATTCAGACAGGAGACACTATCTCTAGAAGAAGCAGCAGTTGTCTGGTCCAACATGGCTGCATTGAGAAAGTTCCACTCTTAAAGGCAGGTTAGAAATAATTTTACATAGATGTAGTTAGTGCCCTGCTGGTTTTCAGGCCCAATGCAAAGTACTGGTTTTGACCTTTAAAGCCACAAATAGTCTGGGGCCAGGGTATGACAACACCTTTCTCTTCCCATTGAAACTTACTTGTTTACTCAGGTCAATGTCCTACTCGATGTCTCTCCACCATCCAAAGTCTATGCAGTGCAGGGCCTTGTTAATCATGGCCCCAGATTGTGGAACCCTCTCTCAATTTTGCAGTTCATATGATAAGTTAAAATCCCATCAGAGGGCATCTGCAATACTGCATTATTTTCCTTAAAAATTCTATTTTGTTTCTGCTTCTGTTGTTTTATTATTGGTAAATTCTGCTTTATCTGTTATTTCTACTTTACCATTTGTAGATCCTAATGTATTTTAAGTTGGGACATAAATATTTTAAATACATAATTTTGCAAATGTTCTGTATTGTTCTCATATTGAAGTGGGATTTTCCATCCTCTATTGTGAGAAATGGAAAATTACGGTTACTAAGCAGGAAGGTGATAACTGAAGGAAGTTAGCTAGGAAACTTATCTGCAAATTTATTTATTCTCATCTGCAAATTTATTTATTAAAAGCTTTCCTGTCCGGTCCTTCACCAAGGTCTCAGGATGGTAATATAAATCTGATCATTGTTCCTGTGCATTTGTTCTACAGATGCACAGAGGACAAAGAATGCTGGTCTTCAAGTAAAGATCCCTTTACACAGTTGCTGTGGCCTACAGTTTTGAATGCAAAGCAGACATGAGATTTATTTCCTTATGTGCTTCTCTTTTGTCATAGTGATTCCACAATACACAGGGCAGATTAATACGTTCTAATCGACCAGTTCCAGGGCAACAATGACTCAGGATGCAAATGACATTATCTGGGCAAAAGGGTTCTTTTCACAGTACTCTAAAGTGAATTCATAACAAAAATAAACACACTGATTAGTGATAAATCTAGAAGTGAAACTTTCTGCATTTGCAGAAGGGAAGAAAGTTCAGTGTTCAGCATTCTCATGTCAAAGAAAACATAAGTAGCTTAGTTGCCCAGTTGTATCCTGAGCAACAATGTAATGAAAGAAAGATGACAGAACAGCAAACACCTGCACAGGGTTTGTACTGAAACCATTCCACTGTCAACATGTCCTTCAGCACTTGTCCTACCTCCTATCGCTAACTATCAATGTTGTCGATTCATTTATTCTTGCTATTTCTTAAAGTAGTTAAAAGATTAACTGAAAGGGATGTGATTGATCAATTCACAGTACAAGTCTATGCATGCTTCCTCAGACGGGAGACCCATTCTGTTCAACAGTGTACTGAGTCCCTTTGCAGAGGGTCGCCTTGCAGCTGAGCGTGGCAGAGACCAAGAGAGCTGCTTCGGAAAGACATAAACTACCCTTCTGTTTGGCTGCTCTTAATGTTCTTGCCAGCCTGCCACATGCCACAAACACTCGTTAATTTCAGGCAGGCTGCTGCCCAGCACAGTGGAAACCCAACGTGTCTCTACACC